ATCACTGTTATGGGTAATGATATAGAAACAAATTTGGTTGGTGTATGTTATAAAAAAGGAATCAGAGTCAAATGTAAATTGGGAAAACAAGAAGCATTTATATTCACAGATAACACAGGACATTTATTGTTGAAAATAGAAGAATTGGCGTTGGAAATAAACGTAAATATTAACAATTTATAAACATTTATTCAATTATTGATATATATATTACCGCCAATTCTGTAAATTAAATATATTTTATAAATATTATTTACGGGGTATGATTCCTTGATATTTTTTTTAACGAACGAATTATTGTGTTTTATCTTTAAATAGCTCGTAAATTAGTAATAAGTAACAAGCAATATGGAAAATAAATTTATAAAGATCCTTGTTTTTTTGTATTTAAACAGACCTGTATTATTAGTATTCTGATTTTTTGTTAAATATATGTCTCACGTATAATGCGCACACGCATGGATCATTGGGGTGTGCGATATACTATATATATATAGTACTAAATAAAAATTTAATATTTGGTGAAACAAAGTCAATTGATATGTTCTTTGATTGCAAATTTCGAAGGCTATGAAACTTTAATTAGATGTACAGCCCTTAAAACTGGTTATTATAAATTCAAATTTTTCACACATTAAGGTTAAGTTTCAAAGAACAAAGTTACAAAGCCAAATAATTGCAATTTCTATTGGATAGGATTATGACCTAGGTCATAATTCATAACCCATATTTTTATGACCTTATGACCTATAATAGTCATAAGGTCATAAAGGTCATAATAGGTCATATGCCAACACTGGTCACCAGAGACCAAAACCAATATACCAGGATCTGCAGTGAAAATTGCTTCGTTTATAGCAAGTGCAATTGCTACATCAACCGTCTTCTCTTGATTTGTAAGATTTCGATCATATACATGTACTGTAAATTCCTGCTCTCGAGCTTGCCCCCAAAGTGCATCGTTTGGTGGTGGACATGACCCAACAATGATGGGCGTTCCGCCCAGCTTTCGTCCATTCAGAATTGTTTCGAGAAGTTGACCATAGTCGATATAAAGATCGCTAAAACACCGGGCGTTTCTTAAAGTGTCAGGACCCAGACATTCATTTTCGGCAATAGCATATTTTCCCTCGATAAAAATGTTAGAGTTGTCAACAAAGGCGCGAACGAGACCGGTATTTTGGTCACTGGGCTTATGAGGAAGTGAATGCTCCTCTTTGCAAACCTCGCGATTCTCATTGCTGGTCCTCCCGATAGTCCATATCATACAAGCCTTTCTTCGTTAAATTCAAGAAAATCACTACCAATGAACCTTTGTTCTCGAAGAATTTGAAAGTCATTGTCATTAAGTTTCAATTCTTGTTGTTGCAAAAAGTTCATCTGTGTCCCTATACATGAGTGTCTAAATTATTTTACTCTTGTCGTAAATTTAAATGGCTAAATTATTTCAGACAGCCAAATCGTAAATAATTT